CTGATGCATGAAAGCTATTGCAGGTAGCACCACTGGGAATAAGCATGCCGGTTCCCTCAACTCAGCAACTTAATTGTCCCTCCTGATGAAGTGCAGGTGGTTTTTGGAATCACAGTAGGGTTTTCAAATTCTAGGATGTAAAAAAAAGGCAGATCAGCCCTTTCACCCAAGTCTTAGAACTGCTGAGAATTGTGGGGAAGGGCTGTGGAGCCAAACAGGCAAAGAAAACACACCGAAGAATGTGACTGCTGCTCAGAAGCCTTCTCTCTCCCGTTCCCTTTGTTATTTAGAGTGCACCCAGTGAGGGATCCATACAGGATTCGCTCCTCACAACCTTATGAGCAATTCATGGGATGCACTCATTTTACAGATAGAGAAACCGAGATCTGGAAGCTAAATGACTGTTGGAGTCCTGTAGCCAGACAGTAACAGGGTATAAAGCTGCCTGGCCCCCATATTTCAGCCTAAACACTAGCTCGGGATGCTGACCTGCCAACCTTGATTATCTCCTTCCTCCCTTTCCCACCAGGTATTGGATTTAATTAAATTAGCAGATCCCCATTGCAACAAGCTGGCCAGGCAGTCTGGCCAGAACCCAGCCAGGGCAGCTCCTTCCCTCTAAATTCTGCTTCTCAATAGAATTCAATCTTCAATAAGTCATGGATCTCATGTGAAGTGTTTTATACAAAGCGTGAGGTGTTGGCTAGAATCAAGGCTAACGGTGGCTCGCGATGGTTTCATTTTCCATAGAACTTCCTCTGATTTTCCTCTGTGGCATCGCTTTCACCCTCTCCACATTCTGATCCTCATTTTGTTTGATCAGACACTCCGGTTCCCATGCCGTCACCTCTAGCAATTGCATCACACGTTTATATATATCTCAGCATCGCAGGCCTTGTGCCACACAGCATAGGAAAAGGAAAACTTACAACAGCATTTCTCACCTTCCTCGAACTAATTTAAAAAATGTGCTCCAAATTAAATAAATCGGGAACAAAAGTCTGAAACTGGAGATAGAATATTGGGGGGGGGGTTGCACTAAATAAATAGCAAGGAAATCTTGCAACATGTTGGGAGCCTATAAATTTTATAGGTTGTTTCTTTAATAAAAACAAATTCAATTGCTAACAACACAGTATTATTAAGCTGCTAACATTTAAAAATCTAATTTGGCCTGCTCTGCTGCTGTTCATGTTGCACGTTGCATTCACCCAGGGTAAGGAAGTCAGGTTGATGGTTTAGTTTGGTTTCTAAATCAGGCTAATAGAAGCCCCTTTAAAACTCAGCCCTTTTGCTTTCTAGGCATGCTTGGTCCCTAATGAGTTACAGCCCGGGGTTGAAGATGGACATGGCAGAAAGAAATTTAACACACACGCTGGTACACCCATAAACATCAAGGCCAAGGGAGAGGAGGCATGTTTCCAGTTAAGCTAGAACTCCATGAATTCAGGATTCTCCACTCACAAGACAGTAATTCTCCTTATTTCATCACTAACTTACTTCAAATGTGTTTATACAATTTATTGCTACTGAACTTCCAGGCAACTGGTGTAGAGTTAATGAAACCCAGCTTGGAGAAGCTTTGAGCTTTGAACAACTAACCACAGTTTAAATGGTTATGACATGTGGTCAAAGCCACAGCCCAGCCCCACTGCAGTTTCTGTGTTAGAACCTAGTCAAAAACCTTGTCATCTCACCTTTTGTGCCAAATAGATTGAAAAGAGAAAAAGAGCGCTGAAAAAATAGTCTTCCGTGTTTCTTCTCAAGGTTTCCAGCCTTTCTCCGAGACATTTTAACACAGCTATCTTACTAAATGCAAGGCGAAGCCCCCTCCTCCAGTCCCCAAGTAAATATTTCAGTTGCCTTTTGATTTGGCAGTCAGTTGAAATCCCGAAATCCAGTGTGCCTTTAATTCAACAGAGTCAGGCCTACATAAAGCAACGTCGAGAGGGGGTGTAAGGGGCAGACACCAAGCAACATTTAAAGTCAGACACAGTGCAAGTCCAAAAGGCGAGATAGGAACGTACAGATGACACTGGGCTGAAAAAGAAGTAAACTCGTCTTTCTGAATTACTTGGACATTGATTTTTATTAATCCTCATTGTCACATGGCGTCCCGCCCCAAGCTCTGTCCATGCGGGAACTCCAGGAGTCTCTCTTTTTAAACAGGCCCATTTTGGAAGAGTAAAGGGGAGGTACTGGACTCGCCATGGCCCCACAATAAAAGCCCCTTTTGAAAGCAGCACTTTCATTAACTTAAAGCAATCTATAGACTTAAAAGCAGAGAGCAGTAAACTCCCAGAAAGGATCATAAAACAGCCAGTCTCGAGTTCGGTACACTTCAGTGCAATTTGCACGAGGCATTTTACTGTGAGCGGTGGCCGGCCCATCTCCCTCCAGTAACCCCCTGCCCTTATTCTGAGCAGCTTCTCTTTCTCTCGGCTTTCATGCCTTTCTCGCTCACAAAGGGGACGCGATGACCGGGGAGTCTCGGTGGGGTCACGGCTCCCTTCCGCACACATGCTCTCGGCGGGAGAGAGTGTACGAATTCCAAGCCCGCAGAACAACAGCGTGGAGCTCCGCAGCCGGCGGCCGCCGCACCCGGCGCCGCCGAGGCCACTCGTGGGTTGCGCGTCTTCTGCGCCCCGGAAGCGCGGTCTGGCTGCCCCAGCGAGGGGTGCGAGGGCTGGAAGGGTGAGCTCAAGATTGCGAGGAGGAAATTTCAAACCTTCCTTCCGTACACCCCCCCAACACACTGCTTCGCTAGTTGGCCAGAGAAATAACCTACCTCCAGGGTCGGGACTCCGCTGGCTTCCCGGAGCTAGACCTGAGCGGGGTCGCGGTGGGGGTGGGGGTAGAGGTGGGGGTGGAGGAGGGTGCGGCTCAAGTGAGAGAACGCGAGTCCAGAAACAGGAGCCCCCCCTTCCTTCCCCCCCAGGTCCCGAGGCCTCGCGAAAGCAGAATAAGGAGCGGGGGGAGGGGGCTGGGGTTAGGCTTCGCATAATTTATCTTGTGTTCCAACACCATCATTTTCTCAGTTTGGGAGAGAGGGGTCGCCTAAAACTGCCGAAAATGCGAAGCTTTTGGCTTCCACCAGTTGCAGAGCATTCGAAATCCGAGAAGTCAACACGCTGGAGAAGTCCCGGGACAAGAGAGTGAGGGTCGAGGACCCCGAGCTCTCCCCTGTCCCAGGCGGAAAATTGCGCCCGCGACCCCGCGCGTGGGCTTCCGGACCCGGCCAAGGCTGTGTGTCCAGAACCAGAGGCTCAGTTCAGGGCGCCGGAGTTTGAGCCCTCCCTGCCTTCGGTCGCAGCCCGAACTCCCCGGGTGCGATGCAGCACGTCGCTGCTGGCGCCCGAGCAGGCCGCGTCCCCCGCGGGCCACCAGCACCGGCCTCGCCGCGCTCTGCCCGCGGACCCCCGAATGGCTCCCGAAGCCCGCCGATCCGCCACGGTCCTCGGATTCACCTCGAGCCCTGTAAGGCTGCCCTGTAGCTTCGCCCAAAACGTCCCCCTTCAATGTGTCCGCTTGCCAGAATCCTTCTCCTAGCACCGGGTCCTGCGCGTCTTTAAGTCCTCTCTTCCAGATACGCTTTCGGGGAGAAGCAGCAGAAATTCGGGGCTCGCCTGCCATGTCTTGGATCAACTACTTCATCGCCTAGCCGAACGCTTTTCCACTCACGGAGGGTGGAGACCCGCGCGCGCGACCATCCCCAAATGCCAGTAGCCTCAACCCCAATAATAAGCCGTGATGTGTGCCTAAATCCTAAAAAGGCCACCCGTTTCTCCGACTCCAGCCTCAAATGTAACCCCAGGCCCCCAACTCCCACCTCAAGCCCTCCTGCTCTAGCCTAAACTACTCAGTGGCCCTTCCGAAATCAGCCTGGACCCTATAACGCAAACTCCAGCCTGGCCCCGAAACCTAGCCCTAATTCGGGGCCGACGCACCAGCACTCCGAGCCTCACCGCAATCCTATCCGGAGCTCGGGTCTCCTAGCCGTGCAGGCACCTCGGGCGCTCCCACTGAGACCCGGAAAGAGCGGCCAGCTTCTCTTGTTTCTTCCTCGGGCTCGGGAGCCGGGAGAGCCCGCACTCCTAACCCGAAAGAGACGCAAACTTTGCGCGTTAGACTCGAAATCCTGCTCCATCCCCCTCTGCTCTTCATCCCCTTTTACGAACTCGTGCTCTAGTTCTCAAGCCAGGAGGGCTCCCGACGCCCAAGCCTCACCGTGGGCCCCACGCCTCCCCCACAGCACCAAGGACTCCCAACAATCCGCGCAAAGCCGGTAACCCTACAAGTCATCGCTCCTCCGGGGGGCGAGGGCCCCCGAGTTGGCCCCTGGAATCCGGCTTCCCTGACTCGTGTTCCCCTGTCCCCCCGATCCGCCTGCAAACCCCACTCGCTCTGACTCCTCAGGCCGGACGCGGCCGCGGTTCTGACTCCGGTTGTCCGGCCCGAGTCTGGGGCCGTTCCCGCTTCCAGCCGCTCGAAGGCAGCCCAGGTTAGTGGAGCCAGGCAGCACCGGCCCAAAGGGCGCCCAAAGCCGGGAGAAAGTGAACCTGGAGCCGGCCTCGCTCACGGAGCGTCCGGCTCCGACCTGCTCGCACCAGGCTCTGGCCCGCGCGCTCGTCCCTGCTCTCGGTGCCCGGCGCTCCTGGCGCGATGGTATTAAATTTCTTTGGCTTTAATAATCACTCTATGAGGTAGATATTATCATCCCTGTTTTTTAGATGAGGAAGTCCCCGGCCTCGCCCGCACCGCGCTCGCCGGCGCTTCCCCTGCTTCCCTCTGCGCGCTCCCTCCCCGCTCCCTGCTCCCTCCTCCCTGCCGCCTCCCTCTCTCCTCCCGCTGCCTCCCTCGCTCGCTCTCCTCCTCGCCCTGTCGCAATGAATAATACTCCGGCTTGGGGACCGGAATAAAACACACGCGCTCCGAGGCAGCCGCCCGCAGCCGCGCCGCCTGCAGAAGCTGCTCTGACATGGAAATGAATGACAGCTTACCTGATGCCAATCTTCATCAGACTGACACCGGCGTGACAACACAGCCTATACTTCCCAGCACTGCTCAGGACGTCAGCGCTCAGGGACCCGCCCCCGGGCCC